CGCGAGAGTCGATACCGGCGGAGGCGTTTTATGTTTTCGTTGCGGGCAGGCGGGCCACAAGTCCGCAAATTGTTCTGCGCCATCTCCGAGATGCGGCGTCTGCGCCGCGGCCGGTAGGAAGGCGGACCACAGAGTGGGTGGCACGGCCAAGTGCAGCCAACCGCGGAAGGCTCGAGCTAAAGCACGAGATGGCCGCGGGGGCGGTGAGTCGATGGACACATAAAGTTCGTCGGCTCTGACGTGGATCTCAGGCGGCGGATGGCGGGAATCATCCGGCGCCCAGAAGAGACAGGAGATCCGAGAGTCGGAGCGCTGCGTATTCCCGGCGCTCCACTCGAGAGGCCCGATGGGGCAGCGCCGCTGGTGGTGTGGATGATTGCGGAAGCGCACCCAGGCCACCGGTGTTAAGGCGCGGAGAGGAATACCGGGGGGTTTTTAGTGGGTAAGAATCCCACAGTACCCATCGTCATCCCGCTGGCGGTGGGTCTCTTTCTGAAGATTTTCCCCTCGTTAAAAAAAAAAAAAAAAAAAAAAAAAAAAAAAAAAAAAAAAAAAAAAGGTTAGGTTAGGTTAGGTTGGGGTGGGGTCGGAAAGGGAGGGTGTCGCGTATGCGAATGTCCTTGCGGAGGCCAAGAGAAGGATCGATCTCCGCGCATTGGGGATCGAAGATATGCGGTTTCGCACCGCGATCACCGGCGGTAAGGTTCTAGAGGTTCCAGGTGCTGATGGCGCGGAGAAGGCCGACGTTCTGGCGTCGAAGCTCCGGGAGTTCATCCCGGAGAATATGGCCAAAATCTCCAGGCCCGTAAAGTCCGCGGAGATGCGGATATCGGGCCTGGACGACAGTGTTACGTCGGAGGAAGTGGTCGCTGCGGTTGCCCGGGAGGGCGGCTGTCAGGTGGACCAAGTGCGAGTCGGAGAGGTTCGACGTACTAGATCTGGGGTGGGCACTTGCTGGGTTAAAGCTCCATTGCAAGCAGTTAAGAAGATGACGGTCGCCGGCCGAGTTCGTATAGGCTGGGTTTCGGCGAAAGCAGAGCTCCTGCGGCAGAGGCCGCTTCGGTGCTTCCGCTGCTTGGAGGAAGGACATGTGCGGGCATCCTGCAGTCATGAGCAGGACCGCAGCGGTCTATGTTACCGTTGCGGAAACGAAGGCCATAAGGCGGCGATGTGCGCGGCCGACCCAAAGTGCGCTGTGTGTTCAGCGCAGGGCCGGCCGTCGGACCATTGGGTGGGGTCCAAGGCCTGCACTCCTCCTAAGAAGCGTAAGAAGCAACCGGTGAAATTGCCGAACCCAGCAGGCCGGGTGAGTGTGGAGGGAGAGGAGATGGAAACGGGCAGGTAGTCCCGCCCTCCTCTCCGGCGATAATTACATCGCCACAGGGCCGGGGTGACGACTGCGGGGGCAGTCCCACCCCATACCAACATGGCCCTGGGAAGTCGCGCGCGCATCCCCGCGCGCTTCCCCTAGACGGGGGTGGGTATTCAACATCTCGTACCCGCCCCAAACTGAGTCGGGGCCCGCGAGCCGGTGCGGGCCAACGCCGTTGGGATCCCGGTGGACTACGCAAGGGAACCCGGGTCCCCAACACAAAGGCGCGGCGAGGGAATGCCATGTGGTTTTTAGCCGGTAGGAGTCCGGCAGTATTCACACCCTCCCCCGGGGGTGTGTCTCTGCATGACGCATTTTCCACATGTAAAAAAAAAAAAAAAAAGGGGTGCTGGGTCGGAAAACCTCCAAGAGTGCCCTGGCTCATTGTACGGTCACTTGTCCTGGTGCGGATACGTCCGGCGGGAACGGTGGCTGACAATGGCTGGGGCCTGGTGCATCCTGGGCAACGGCGGTAAGTGACTTCTCGCTATTTAGAGATCTCACTTACTGACGGCTAATCTTCCGACGCCGCGGGTGGGACGAGTTCGTGACGCACTATTTGTGTTGCGGACTTGCCTGACTCGCTCTTCGTTTTGTTTCGTCTTCCTTTTGTTATTCTTCGTTTTTGTTTTGTTTGTTTTATTTTTGTTTTGAGTCTTTACTGTCGTCTTTTCTATCTTCTGTTTTCTTTCTGTCGTTTTGTTTTTTCTATCATTTTCATTTTCAATTTCCTTTCGCCTTTCACGGGACCTTCCCCGTTAAAAAAGGAAAACATGAGAATGGCCAGTCGCAAAACTGAATTCCCCAGGGCGGTACCGTCGGGAGACGGAGAATCCGCCACCACCGCACCGGTTCAGCCGGGGGTGGTCAGCCCCGTGTATCTGGGGGGGGGGGGGCAACGGAAGGCCAGAGTGGAGTAGGAGATGTTGTAATGGAGGAGGTAGTAATGGAGGCGGGACTGGCGACCACAGTCGTGCCAGTCAGGGCCAGTCGGAGTCTGGAGGTGGATCCGGCGACGGATGAGGAACTGGCCAGTCTTGCCGGCGAGATCGACAGCATGTTATCGCGGTCGACCTCGATGGCAAGTCTTTTCAGTGGAGATGAGAGTGGGCTACTCGAGCGCCCCCGTTCTAGGCGCAAGAGACGAATATCCGAAACCGACGATGGGTCGGCTACAGGATCTGGATGTGACACGCAGTCGGCCGCCAAAAAGGCGAGCGCGGCTAAAAAATCAGCTAAGAGTGCAAATCGGCGCAGTCAATTCTGCGTTTCGTTATACGAGGGCGGAAACACGGTGCCCCCGAATACGTCCGAGCTGGAGAAGACTCTTCTCTCGGCGTCCAGTGGAAAAGGTCGTGGCACCGGATTGGCGAAGGCGAAAGCCGACTTGGCTGCCGCCAAAAATCGGAATTTGGAACGTGAGGTTGCCCCTGCAGTGGCGGGCTCCTCCAGGATGTCGGTGCATTCGGAGTTCAAGAAACCCCCTCAGCCCGGGGGTCAGTTCACCGACCCCTTGGAGGCAGAGATGGACGGCTACGTGAGCCACATATCGGAAACGGTGCGGAAATGCGGTAACATAAAAGGAACCATAATTAAAGAGATCAAGTCCTCCCTGACCGGGATCCGCATCGTGACCGAGAAGATGCTCGAGAGGGGCACCTCAGCCGAGTACGTCGAACTCCGGAAGGAGAATGCTCGGCTGGCCACGGAGATGGCGAACCAGCGCGTCAGAATGGACGGCATGCTCGAGGAGGCGATCAAGGATCGCAAAGAGATGAAGGCGTTGCGGATGGCACTTTCGTCATCGGGCGGCGACCAGTCGGCCAACACCTCGGCCTACAGTGAGCTCCAGCGCGAACTAGAGCTAGTGCGCAAGGAAAATGCAGAGCTTGCGGAGCAGTATGTTGCGGACCGTCGCGAGCTTCGTCGTCTGAGGCAAGAGCTGGAGGAGGCCAAGAAGGCTACACAGCCACCCTCAGCGTCTGCGGCCGCGGAGAGAGCGCCTGCCGCCCCGGCCCCTTTACAGCCGGGTGCGGTCCCTTCAGAAGAAGAGGGAATGGAGGCAAGGATTGTTCGGCAAATCGGTGACATTTTCAGTGCCCGGTTTGCCATCATCGAGGAACGGCTGGGCCAGGTCGGAGGACCCAAGCCGCCGCGTAAGCGGAAAAATCGCAAGAGTGCCTCACAGCCACCCACAAATCGGGATGTCGAGGAGGATTCGAAGAGGAAAGGCCCGCCTAGACAGCCGGCCAAAGCCACTGAGACGGGTGCAGACGCTGCTCCCTTACCGTCGACAAGCAATATGTCGGAGGGGTGGTCGACGGTGGTTCGACGGGGCAAGCGGCCCAAGGCAACAAAGCCGCAGGCAGATCCCGCCAGACAGACGGCACCTAAAGAGGCGGCGCCCGCCAAACAACTGGCCGGCAAGAAAAAGAAGGGAAGGCGGAGGCGATTCCGTCAACCTAAGTCACATGCAGTAGTCCTGACCCTGCTGCCTGAGGCTGAGGAGAGAGGATTTACCTACAAGGACGTGTTCAGGGAGGCAACCACAAAACTGTCGCCTCAAGAAATGGGCATCTCCGGGATCAGGTATAGGCTGGGCGTCACACAGGCGCGCATCTTGGAAGTGCCAGGCGCCGACTCAGGCGATAAGGCAGATCTGTTGGCGACCAGGCTGACAGAAATTCTGCCGGAGGGAATAGTCAAGATCTCGAGGCCGATGAAGACGGCGGAACTGCGCATCGGAGATCTTGACGACTCGGTCGTTCCAGCGGATGTGGTCGCCGCGGTTGCGCGGGAAGGGGGTTGTGGCGAGGCCTCTGTCAGTACGGGGGAGATCCGTCGCAGTCCTTCGGGTGCCGGCACTATCTGGGTGCGCTGCCCAGTAGGTGCAGCCAGAACACTGGCCAAGGCGGGCCGGATTAAAATTGGCTGGGTGATGGCGCGCGTTCAACCTCTGGATCCGCGCCCCTTGCGGTGCTACCGCTGCCTGCTCTTAGGGCACGTAGCACAGCGGTGCACCGCGAGAGTCGATACCGGCGGAGGCGTCCTATGCTTCCGCTGTGGGCAGGCGGGCCACAAGTCCGCAAATTGTGAGGCGCCATCTCCAAGATGCGGCGTATGCGCCGCGGCCGGCAGAAAGGCGGACCATAGGGTGGGTGGCACGGCCAAGTGCAGCCAACCGCGGAAGGCTCGAGCTTCGGCACGAGATGGCCGCGGGGGCGGTGAGTCGATGGACACATAAAGTTCGTCGGCTCTGACGTGGATCTCAGGCGGCGGATGGCGGGAATCATCCAGCGCCCAGAAGAGACAGGAGATCCGAGAGTCGGAGCGCTGCGTATTCCCGGCGCTCCACTCGAGAGGCCCGATGGGGCAGCGCCGCTGGTGGTGTGGATGATTGCGGAAGCGCACCCAGGCCACCGGTGCTAAGGCGCGGAGAGGAATACCGGGGGGTTTTTAGTGGGTAAGAATCCCACAGTACCCATCGTCATCCCGCTGGCGGTGGGTCTCTTTCTGAAGATTTTCCCCTCGTTAAAAAAAAAAAAAAAAAAAAAAAAAAAAGGTTCGGTTAGGTTAGGTTAGGTTAGGTTAGGTTAGGTTAGGTTAGGTTAGGTTAGGTTAGGTTGGGGTGGGGTGCTGGGTCGGAAAACCTCCAAGAGTGCCCTGGCTCATTGTACGGTCACTTGTCCTGGTGCGGATACGTCCGGCGGGAACGGTGGCTGACAATGGCTGGGGCCTGGTGCATCCTGGGCAACGGCGGTAAGTGACTTCTCGCTATTTAGAGATCTCACTTACCGACGGCTAATATTCCGACAGAGGTGGTGAGCGGCGAGCCCAAGTTATGGGGTTTGTCGTGTTTTTGTTGGGGGCGGGTTTTGTTCCGCGACTTCTCGTAGTGGGAGTGGTCGGCGGGCCCGGTGAGTGCTTCGTTGCGCAGCCGGGCTGGTTTCAGTGCCACCGCCGAAAAACCGTAATCCCTCGCGGAGGTGTGGTCATGTTTCGCACCCGAGTGAGGGGACGGGGGCCTTGGCTTAACCGCCTGGGCCGCGAGGAGTAAACCTCTATAAAAATCCTCTTGTGTAAGCTTCGGTGCCTGGCGATGCATAGTTCGTTGTGCGGTGCACGCTACCGGACATTAAAAGTTCGGTTAGCGTGTTCTGTGCTGCGGGCGGGTCGGTGGAGTATCATCGGCCGCAAGGGCACCAACCTCGGGGTATCTGCCGCACCCCGTTGTATGTAGGCCGCACGCAGAAGCAGGGGCTCCCCTGCGTGTGAAACCTTTCCCCCATACTCGTGGGAACAAGTATGGATATGTCAAAAACAAAACCCAAAATTGATGTCGTGTCCGAGAAGGACGGTGAGAAGTCGGTGCCCGCGAAGGGCGGAGAGAAGTCGGTGCCCGTGAAGGGCGGTGTTAGTAAAAAGAAGTCGGAAGTGGAGGTTCTGAAAGAGTGCTCCGTTGTACTGGGCGAGGATGTTGTGGAGTTAGGTCGCCGTCGCACTCGTCACAGCTTGTTGAGGGCGGTTGCGGGCGAGACCGACTGCGGGTCTTCGCGGTCGAGCTTGTGCGCATCCCCAATTGATGAAGGCATGGAGACGGAGCAGTTGCCGTCCACATCTGGACTACGCTCCTGGCGCAAAAGGCGTCTCAACGAGTCCGATACGGACTCCACGGTCGAGGATGAGGGCGATGTCCAATCCGTCCGCAAAAGGTCCGGCAGCCCTAGAGTGGGATCGAGAGCCAGTTCGATCGCTAGAAAGAAGGAGGAGTGTCGGCAATTCACATACCGATTTTTCGAAGATGAAGGGACAGCCGCTGGCAAATCTGGTCTGCCCCCAGTGACGGTCTTAGATTATCACGAGAGTGATTTCTTTTCTTCCGGAGATGAGGAGTCAGACAAACCGACGGAGCTGGACAGGCCGACGGCATCTGGCGCCACTGCCACCGCTGCCGCCGGTGACAAGAACAAAGTGGCCGAGGAGGTACTCCATAGGGCGAAACTTCTCGTCCATCGGCAAGCGGATGCTCTTAGCGACGTCGTTAAGAAGGCGGGAAATCTCAAAGGGACCACCATAAGGACCCTGAAAGAGGGTTTGGCCGGGATCACACAGGTTGTGGACACCTTGGAGGGGGATCTATTTCCGACGTCGGTCTCTCCACTGGTCTCAAAGAACCTGAGACTTGAGCAGGAAGTCGAGTACCTGCGTCGGCAGTTGGCCGAGGCTCGTGCTGCCAAGCCAGCTGCCAAGCCAGCGGCCCAGGCCGGTATCTCGGCAGACGGTGTTCCTGTTGTAGGAAGTGATGCGAGCGCATTCCGTGCTCAAATAATGAGAGATGTCGGCGGCATCGTCCGCCAAATGGTAGGGACATTTATGAAAGAGGTGAGAGAAATGATCTCAATTCGCCCCCCTCCAGAGAAGGTGTCGTCCTCGTCTGCGGTCTCCACGCAAACTTTGCCCGAGGCCGGGACAATGGCGTCAGATGTGCCCGACACCCCTAGAGTCGGCGACCGGGGTTCTCTTCCCCAGTCAGAAACGGGTCGGGCCAAGAAGAAGAAGGCGAAGAAGACGCCCGTCACACCGGCGCCCTCTGGACAGCCCGAGCCGGTGGCTTCGACCTCCGCTCAAACGTCTGTGCAGTCGACCGCGTCCTCCTGGGCGACGGTCGTAAAAGGAAAACGGGGCAAGACCGTCAGTGTTCCCGAAGGGCAGCCTGTGGCTGCGAACCCTCCGGTGACGAAAGCCGGTTCGGCCCCCTCGAAGAAGGCAAAGAAGACGAGCGCACCCTCGCCTTCTAAACTGAAACCGCCTCGCTCCGCGGCGGTGATTATTACGTTGGACCCGGAGGCGGAAAGGGAGGGTGTCGCGTATGCGAATGTCTTTGCGGAGGCCAAGAGAAGGATCGATCTCCGCGCATTGGGGATCGAAGATATGCGGTTTCGCACCGCGATCACCGGCGGTAAGGTCCTAGAGGTCCCAGGTGCTGATGGCGCGGAGAAGGCCGACGTTCTGGCGTCGAAGCTCCGGGAGTTCATCCCGGAGAATATGGCCAAAATCTCCAGGCCCGTAAAGTCCGCGGAGATGCGGATATCGGGCCTGGACGACAGTGTTACGTCGGAGGAAGTGGCCGCTGCGGTTGCCCGGGAGGGTGGCTGTCAGGTGGACCAAGTGCGAGTCGGAGAGGTTCGACGTACTAGATCTGGGGTGGGCACTTGCTGGGTTAAAGCTCCATTGCAAGTTGTTAAGAAGATGACGGTCGCCGGCCGAGTTCGTATAGGCTGGGTTTCGGCGAAAGCAGAGCTCCTGCGGCAGAGGCCGCTTCGGTGCTTCCGCTGCTTGGAGGAAGGACATGTGCGGGCATCCTGCAGTCATGAGCAGGACCGCAGCGGTCTATGTTACCGCTGCGGAAACGAAGGCCATAAGGCGGCGATGTGCGCGGCCGACCCAAAGTGCGCTGTGTGTTCAGCGCAGGGCCGGCCGTCGGACCATTGGGTGGGGTCCAAGGCCTGCACTCCTCCTAAGAAGCGTAAGAAGCAACCGGTGAAATTGCCGAACCCAGCAGGCCGGGTGAGTGTGGAGGGAGAGGAGATGGAAACGGGCAGGTAGTCCCGCCCTCCTCTCCGGCGATAATTACATCGCCACAGGGCCGGGGTGACGACTGCGGGGGCAGTCCCACCCCACACCAACATGGCCCTGGGAAGTCGCGCGCGCATCCCCGCGCGCTTCCCCTAGACGGGGGTGGGTATTCAACATCTCGTACCCGCCCCAAACTGAGTCGGGGCCCGCGAGCCGGTGCGGGCCAATGCCGTTGGGGATCCCGGTAGATTACGCAAGGGAACCCGGGTTCCCAACATTAAGGCGCGGCGAGGGAATGCCATGTGGTTTTTAGCCGGTAGGAGTCCGGCAGTATTCACACCCTCCCCCGGGGGTGTGTCTCTGCATTACGCATTTTCCAAATTTAAAAAAAAAAAAAAAAAAAAAAAAAAAAAGGTTAGGTTAGGTTAGGTTAGGTTAGGTTAGGTTAGGTTAGGTTAGGTTAGGTTAGGGGGTGCTGGGTCGGAAAACCTCCAAGAGTGCCCTGGCTCATTGTACGGTCACTTGTCCTGGTGCGGATACGTCCGGCGGGAACGGTGGCTGACAATGGCTGGGGCCTGGTGCATCCTGGGCAACGGCGGTAAGTGACTTCTCGCTATTTAGAGATCTCACTTACCGACGGCTAATATTCCGACAGAGGTGGTGAGCGGCGAGCCCAAGTTATGGGGTTTGTCGTGTTTTGTTGGGGGCGGGTTTTGTTCCGCGACTTCTCGTAGTGGGAGTGGTCGGCGGGCCCGGTGAGTGCTTCGTTGCGCAGCCGGGCTGGTTTCAGTGCCACCGCCGAAAAACCGTAATCCCTCGCGGAGGTGTGGTCATGTTTCGCACCCGAGTGAGGGGACGGGGGCCTTGGCTTAACCGCCTGGGCCGCGAGGAGTAAACCTCTATAAAAATCCTCTTGTGTAAGCTTCGGTGCCTGGCGATGCATAGTTCGTTGTGCGGTGCACGCTACCGGACATTAAAAGTTCGGTTAGCGTGTTCTGTGCTGCGGGCGGGTCGGTGGAGTATCATCGGCCGCAAGGGCACCAACCTCGGGGTATCTGCCGCACCCCGTTGTATGTAGGCCGCACGCAGAAGCAGGGGGCTCCCCTGCGTGTGAAACCTTTCCCCCATACTCGTGGGAACAAGTATGGATATGTCAAAAACGAAACCCAAAATTGATGTCGTGTCCGAGAAGGACGGTGAGAAGTCGGTGCCCGCGAAGGGCGGAGAGAAGTCGGTGCCCGTGAAGGGCGGTGTTAGTAAAAAGAAGTCGGAAGTGGAGGTTCTGAAAGAGTGCTCCGTTGTACTGGGCGAGGATGTTGTGGAGTTAGGTCGCCGTCGCACTCGTCACAGCTTGTTGAGGGCGGTTGCGGGCGAGACCGACTGCGGGTCTTCGCGGTCGAGCTTGTGCGCATCCCCAATTGATGAAGGCATGGAGACGGAGCAGTTGCCGTCCACATCTGGACTACGCTCCTGGCGCAAAAGGCGTCTCAACTAGTCCGATACGGACTCCACGGTCGAGGATGAGGGCGATGTCCAATCCGTCCGCAAAAGGTCCGGCAGCCCTAGAGTGGGATCGAGAGCCAGTTCGATCACTAGAAAGAAGGAGGAGTGTCGGCAATTCAGGCATACCGATTTTTCGAAGATGAAGGGAACCGGACGCCGCTGGCAAATCTGGTCTGCCCCCAGTGACGGTCTTAGATTATCACGAGAGTGATTTCTTTTCTTCCGGAGATGAGGAGCAGACAAACCGACGGAGCTGGACAGGCCGACGGCATCTGGCGCCACTACCACCGCTGCCGCCGGTGACAATAACAAAGTGGCCGAGGAGGTAATCCGCAGGGCGAAACTTCTCGTCCATCGGCAAGCGGATGCTCTTAGCGACGTCGTTAAGAAGGCGGGAAATCTCAAAGGGACCACCATAAGGACCCTGAAAGAGGGTTTGGCCGGGATCACACAGGTTGTGGACACCTTGGAGGGGGATCTATTTCCGACGTCGGTCTCTCCACTGGTCTCAAAGAACCTGAGACTTGAGCAGGAAGTCGAGTACCTGCGTCGGCAGTTGGCCGAGGCTCGTGCTGCCAAGCCAGCTGCCAAGCCAGCGGCCCAGGCCGGTATCTCGGCAGACGGTGTTCCTGTTGTAGGAAGTGATGCGAGCGCATTCCGTGCTCAAATAATGAGAGATGTCGGCGGCATCGTCCGCCAAATGGTAGGGACATTTATGAAAGAGGTGAGAGAAATGATCTCCATTCGCCCTCCTCCAGAGAAGGTGTCGTCCTCGTCTGCGGTCTCCACGCAAACTTTGCCCGAGGCCGGGACAATGGCGTCAGATGTGCCCGACACCCCTAGAGTCGGCGACCGGGGTTCTGTTCCCCAGTCAGAAACGGGTCGGGCCAAGAAGAAGAAGGCGAAGAAGACGCCCGTCACACCGGCGCCCTCTGGACAGCCCGAGCCGGTGGCTTCGACCTCCGCTCAAACGTCTGTGCAGCCGACCGCGTCCTCCTGGGCGACGGTCGTAAAAGGAAAACGGGGCAAGACCGTCAGTGTTCCCGAAGGGCAGCCTGTGGCTGCGAACCCTCCGGTGACGAAAGCCGGTTCGGCCCCCTCGAAGAAGGCAAAGAAGACGAGCGCACCCTCGCCTTCTAAACTGAAACCGCCTCGCTCCGCGGCGGTGATTATTACGTTGGACCCGGAGGCGGAAAGGGAGGGTGTCGCGTATGCGAATGTCCTTGCGGAGGCCAAGAGAAGGATCGATCTCCGCGCATTGGGGATCGAAGATATGCGGTTTCGCACCGCGATCACCGGCGGTAAGGTCCTAGAGGTCCCAGGTGCTGATGGCGCGGAGAAGGCCGACGTTCTGGCGTCGAAGCTCCGGGAGTTCATCCCGGAGAATATGGCCAAAATCTCCAGGCCCGTAAAGTCCGCGGAGATGCGGATATCGGGCCTGGACGACAGTGTTACGTCGGAGGAAGTGGCCGCTGCGGTTGCCCGGGAGGGCGGCTGTCAGGTGGACCAAGTGCGAGTCGGAGAGGTTCGACGTACTAGATCTGGGGTGGGCACTTGCTGGGTTAAAGGTCCGTTGCAAGTCGTTAAGAAGATGACGGTCGCCGGCCGAGTTCGTATAGGCTGGGTTTCGGCGAAAGCAGAGCTCCTGCGGCAGAGGCCGCTTCGGTGCTTCCGCTGCTTGGAGGAAGGACATGTGCGGGCATCCTGCAGTCATGAGCAGGACCGCAGCGGTCTATGTTACCGCTGCGGAAACGAAGGCCATAAGGCGGCGATGTGCGCGGCCGACCCAAAGTGCGCTGTGTGTTCAGCGCAGGGCCGGCCGTCGGACCATTGGGTGGGGTCCAAGGCCTGCACTCCTCCTAAGAAGCGTAAGAAGCAACCGGTGAAATTGCCGAACCCAGCAGGCCGGGTGAGTGTGGAGGGAGAGGAGATGGAAACGGGCAGGTAGTCCCGCCCTCCTCTCCGGCGATAATTACATCGCCACAGGGCCGGGGTGACGACTGCGGGGGCAGTCCCACCCCATACCAACATGGCCCTGGGAAGTCGCGCGCGCATCCCCGCGCGCTTCCCCTAGACGGGGGTGGGTATTCAACATCTCGTACCCGCCCCAAACTGAGTCGGGGCCCGCGAGCCGGTGCGGGCCAACGCCGTTGGGGATCCCGGTGGACTACGCAAGGGAACCCGGGTCCCCAACACAAAGGCGCGGCGAGGGAATGCCATGTGGTTTTTAGCCGGTAGGAGTCCGGCAGTATTCACACCCTCCCCCGGGGGTGTGTCTCTGCATGACGCATTTTCCACATGTAAAAAAAAAAAAAAAAAAAAAAAAAAGGTTAGGTTAGGTTAGGTTAGGTTAGGTTAGGTTAGGTTAGGTTAGGTTAGGTTAGGTTAGGTTAGGTTAGGTTAGGTTAGGTTAGGTTAGGTGAGGGTCATGTTTCGCACCCGAGTGAGGGGACGGGGGCCTTGGCTTAACCGCCTGGGCCGCGAGGAGTAAACCTCTATAAAAATCCTCTTGTGTAAGCTTCGGTGCCTGGCGATGCATAGTTCGTTGTGCGGTGCACGCTACCGGACATCAAAAGTTCGGTTAGCGTGTTCTGTGCTGCGGGCGGGTCGGTGGAGTATCATCGGCCGCAAGGGCACCAACCTCGGGGTATCTGCCGCACCCCGTTGTATGTAGGCCGCACGCAGAAGCAGGGGGCTCCCCTGCGTGTGAAACCTTTCCCCCATACTCGTGGGAACAAGTATGGATATGTCAAAAACAAAACCCAAAATTGATGTCGTGTCCGAGAAGGACGGTGAGAAGTCGGTGCCCGCGAAGGGCGGAGAGAAGTCGGTGCCCGTGAAGGGCAAGTCATGATATGTCAAAAACAAACCCAAAATTGATGTCCCTTGGGAAGGACCGATGTGCCCGCGAAGGGCTGGAGCGAGAAGTCGTTAGTAAAAAGAAGTCGGAAGTGGAGGTTCTGAAAGAGTGCTCCGTTGTACTGGGCGAGGATGTTGTGGAGTTAGGTCGCCGTCGCACTCGTCACAGCTTGTTGAGGGCGGTTGCGGGCGAGACCGACTGCGGGTCTTCGCGGTCGAGCTTGTGCGCATCCCCAATTGATGAAGGCATGGAGACGGAGCAGTTGCCGTCCACATCTGGACTACGCTCCTGGCGCAAAAGGCGTCTCCACGAGTCCGATACGGACTCCACGGTCGAGGATGAGGGCGATGTCCAATCCGTCCGCAAAAGGTCCGGCAGCCCTAGAGTGGGATCGAGAGCCAGTTCGATCACTAGAAAGAAGGAGGAGTGTCGGCAATTCACATACCGATTTTTCGAAGATGAAGGGACAGCCGCTGGCAAATCTGGTCTGCCCCCAGTGACGGTCTTAGATTATCACGAGAGTGATTTCTTTTCTTCCGGGGATGAGGAGCGTCAGACAAACCGACGGAGTGGACAGGCCGACGGCATCTGGCGCCACTGCCACCGCTGCCGCCGGTGACAAGAACAAAGTGGCCGAGGAGGTACTCCATAGGGCGAAACTTCTCGTCCATCGGCAAGCGGATGCTCTTAGCGACGTCGTTAAGAAGGCGGGAAATCTCAAAGGGACCACCATAAGGACCCTGAAAGAGGGTTTGGCCGGGATCACACAGGTTGTGGACACCTTGGAGGGGGATCTATTTCCGACGTCGGTCTCTCCACTGGTCTCAAAGAACCTGAGACTTGAGCAGGAAGTCGAGTACCTGCGTCGGCAGTTGGCCGAGGCTCGTGCTGCCAAGCCAGCTGCCAAGCCAGCGGCCCAGGCCGGTATCTCGGCAGACGGTGTTCCTGTTGTAGGAAGTGATGCGAGCGCATTCCGTGCTCAAATAATGAGAGATGTCGGCGGCATCGTCCGCCAAATGGTAGGGACATTTATGAAAGAGGTGAGAGAAATGATCTCCATTCGCCCCCCTCCAGAGAAGGTGTCGTCCTCGTCTGCGGTCTCCACGCAAACTTTGCCAGAGGCCGGAACAATGGCGTCAGATGTGCCCGACACCCCTAGAGTCGGCGACCGGGGTTCTCTTCCCCAGTCAGAAACGGGTCGGGCCAAGAAGAAGAAGGCGAAGAAGACGCCCGTCACACCGGCGCCCTCTGGACAGCCCGAGCCGGTGGCTTCGACCTCCGCTCAAACGTCTGTGCAGTCGACCGCGTCCTCCTGGGCGACGGTCGTAAAAGGAAAACGGGGCAAGACCGTCAGTGTTCCCGAAGGGCAGCCTGTGGCTGCCAACCCTCCGGTGACGAAAGCCGGTTCGGCCCCCTCGAAGAAGGCAAAGAAGACGAGCGCACCCTCGCCTTCTAAACTGAAACCGCCTCGCTCCGCGGCGGTTATTATTACGTTGGACCCGGAGGCGGAAAGGGAGGGTGTCGCGTATGCGAATGTCCTTGCGGAGGCCAAGAGAAGGATCGATCTCCGCGCATTGGGGATCGAAGATATGCGGTTTCGCACCGCGATCACCGGCGGTAAGGTTCTAGAGGTTCCAGGTGCTGATGGCGCGGAGAAGGCCGACGTTCTGGCGTCGAAGCTCCGGGAGTTCATCCCGGAGAATATGGCCAAAATCTCCAGGCCCGTAAAGTCCGCGGAGATGCGGATATCGGGCCTGGACGACAGTGTTACGTCGGAGGAAGTGGCCGCTGCGGTTGCCCGGGAGGGCGGCTGTCAGGTGGACCAAGTGCGAGTCGGAGAGGTTCGACGTACTAGATCTGGGGTGGGCACTTGCTGGGTTAAAGCTCCATTGCAAGCAGTTAAGAAGATGACGGTCGCCGGCCGAGTTCGTATAGGCTGGGTTTCGGCGAAAGCAGAGCTCCTGCGGCAGAGGCCGCTTCGGTGCTTCCGCTGCTTGGAGGAAGGACATGTGCGGGCATCCTGCAGTCATGAGCAGGACCGCAGCGGTCTATGTTACCGCTGCGGAAACGAAGGCCATAAGGCGGCGATGTGCGCGGCCGACCCAAAGTGCGCTGTGTGTTCAGCGCAGGGCCGGCCGTCGGACCATTGGGTGGGGTCCAAGGCCTGCACTCCTCCTAAGAAGCGTAAGAAGCAACCGGTGAAATTGCCGAACCCAGCAGGCCGGGTGAGTGTGGAGGGAGAGGAGATGGAAACGGGCAGGTAGTCCCGCCCTCCTCTCCGGCGATAATTACATCGCCACAGGGCCGGGGTGACGACTGCGGGGGCAGTCCCACCCCATACCAACATGGCCCTGGGAAGTCGCGCGCGCATCCCCGCGCGCTTCCCCTAGACGGGGGTGGGTATTCAACATCTCGTACCCGCCCCAAACTGAGTCGGGGCCCGCGAGCCGGTGCGGGCCAACGCCGTTGGGATCCCGGTGGACTACGCAAGGGAACCCGGGTCCCCAACACAAAGGCGCGGCGAGGGAATGCCATGTGGTTTTTAGCCGGTAGGAGTCCGGCAGTATTCACACCCTCCCCCGGGGGTGTGTCTCTGCATGACGCATTTTCCACATGTAAAAAAAAAAAAAAAAAAAAAAAAAAGGTTAGGTTAGGTTAGGTTAGGTTAGGTTAGGTTAGGTTAGGTTAGGTTAGGTTAGGTTAGGTTAGGTGGGGTGCTGGGTCGGAAAACCTCCAAGAGTGCCCTGGCTCATTGTACGGTCACTTGTCCTGGTGCGGATACGTCCGGCGGGAACGGTGGCTGACAATGGCTGGGGCCTGGTGCATCCTGGGCAACGGCGGTAAGTGACTTCTCGCTATTTAGAGATCTCACTTACCGACGGCTAATATTCCGACAGAGGTGGTGAGCGGCGAGCCCAAGTTATGGGGTTTGTCGTGTTTTCGTTGGGGGCGGGTTTTGTTCCGCGACTTCTCGTAGTGGGAGTTGTCGGCGGGCCCGGTGAGTGCTTCGTTGCGCAATCGGGCTGGTTTCAGTGCCACCGCCGAAAAACCGTAATCCCTCGCGAAGGTGTGGTCATGTTTCGCACCGGAGTGAGGGGACGGGGGCCTTGGCTTAATCGCCTGGGCCGCGAGGAGTAAACCTCTATAAAAATCCTCTTGTGTAAGCTTCGGTGCCTGGCGATGCATAGTTCGTTGTGCGGTGCACGCTACCGGACATCATAAGTTCGGTTAGCGTGTTCTGTGCCGCGGGCGGGTCGGTGGAGTATCATCGGCCGCAAGGGCACCAACCTCGGGGTATCTGCCGCACCCCGTTGTATGTAGGCCGCACGCAGAAGCAGGGGGCTCCCCTGCGTGTGAAACCTTTCCCCCATACTCGTGGGAACAAGTATGGAAATATCAAAAACAAAAACAAAACCCAAAATTGATGTCGTGTCTGAGAAGGACGGTGAGAAAGTAGTGCCTGAGAAGGGCGGAGAGAAGTTGGTGCCTGAGAAGGGCGTAGAAAGTAAGAAGTCGGGGCTAGAACTCCTGAAAGAGTGTTCGGTAGTACTGGGCGAAGATGTTGGTCTCTTAGGTCGTCGTCGTACTCGCCATAGTCTGCTGAGAGCGGTTGCGGGCGAGATCGACTGCGGGTCTACGCGGTCGAGCTCGTGTGCAACCCCAACTGAGGAGATGGAAATGGAACCGTTGCCGTCCACGTCTGGTCTCCGCTCCTGGCGTAAAAGACACATTGCTGAGTCTGACACAGACTCTATAGTTGAGGATGAGGGCGATGTCCAGTCCGCCCGCAAAAGGTCCGGCAGCCCTAGAGTGGGGTCGAGAGCAAGTTCTCGCACAAGGAAGAAGGAGGAATGTCGGCGGCAGTTCAGCTACCGATTCTTTGAGGACGATGTAACCGGAGCGGTCCCTGGGGCGGGTGCTACCAAGTCTGGATTACCTCCAGCGACGGCCCTGGATTATCATGAGAGTGACTTCTTCTCCTCAGGGGATGAAGCGTCGGATATACTGTCGGAGTCGGATAGGCCGACGGCGTCTGGCGCCACTGCCACTGCCGCCGCCGAGAATAAGAATAAAGTGGCCGAGGAGGTAATCCGCAGGGCGAAGTGTCTCGTCCACCGGCAAGCGGATGCTCTCACTGATGTTGTGAAGAAGGCAGGGAACCTCAAAGGGACCACCATAAGGACCCTGAAAGAGGGTTTGGCCGGGATCACACAGGTTGTGGACACCTTGGAGGGGGATCTATTTCCGACGTCGGTCTCTCCACTGGTCTCAAAGAACCTGAGACTTGAGCAGGAAGTCGAGTACCTGCGTCGGCAGTTGGCCGAGGCTCGTGCTGCCAAGCCAGCTGCCAAGCCAGCGGCCAATGCCGGTATCTCGGCGGATGTTGTCCCTGTCGTAGGGAGTGAGGCGAGCGCGTTCCGCGCTCAAATAATGAGGGACGTCGGCGGAATCGTCCGCCAAATGGTAGGGACGCTTATGAAGGAGGTGAAAGAGATGATCTCTGCTCTCCCCTCCACTGAGAAGGTGTCGTCTGCGTCAGCGGTCTCCACGCAAACCCTGCCAGAGGCTGGAACAATGGCGTCAGATGTGCCCGACCCCCTAGAGTCGGCGACCGGGGTTCTCTTCCCCAGTCAGAAACGGGTCGGGCCAAGAAAAAGAAGGCGAAGAAGACGCCCGTCACACCGGCGCCTTCTGGACAGCCCGAGTCGGTAGCAACAACATCCGCTCAGCCACCTGTGCAGGCGACCGTGTCCTCCTGGGCGACGGTCGTAAAAGGAAAACGGGGCAAGACCGTCAGTGTTCCCGAAGGGCAGCCTGTGGCTGTCAACCCTCCGGTGACGAAAGCCGGTTCGGCCCCCTCGAAGAAGGCAAAGAAGACGAGCGCACCCTCGCCTTCTAAACTGAAACCGCCTCGCTCCGCGGCGGTTATTATTACGTTGGACCCGGAGGCGGAAAGGGAGGGTGTCGCGTATGCGAATGTCCTTGCGGAGGCCAAGAGAAGGATCGATCTCCGCGCATTGGGGATCGAAGATATGCGGTTTCGCACCGCGATCACCGGCG